TTCCGGCGCCCAGCAGCCGCCCGTGCGGGGGCCGCCGCCGGCGTCGCTGCAGCCGGCGACGCCGGGCCAGGTGGCGGCGCGGCTGCGGCGGTGCTACGGCAAGCGGTGGGGCAAGACGGAGGAGGAGCGGCTGCAGGGAGAGCTGTCGTTCCTGCTGGATGGTGGCGTGGTGGGGGCAGCCAACTGCCAGGCAGCCACCATCCTGTGGCACAGCGGTGAGGCGCCGGGGCGGTACGCAACAACCATCCTGGGCCACGTTAGCCCGCGGCCGCCGCCGAGCCAGCCCTGCTGCTGCCATGGATGCCGTGCTGGCACCGCCGCGCCGTCTCTGCATCCATGCTATCCATGCTAAGTGCTGACTGCTCTGCCCTGTGCCGCCGTCGCCGCCGTCGCCGCCGCCGCCGCCGCGCAGCCGGCCTGCCGTGCCACCTGGCGGCCGCCCTGAACCAGCCCGACTGCCTGCACATGCTCTTATCGGCGGGGGTGGGGGCGGTGGACGACCCCACCGCCCAAGGCTTCACCCCTCTGATGCTGGCAGCCACCGGCGACGGCGCGGCCGCCGCCGCGGTGCTGCTGCGCGCCGGCGCGGCGCTCGAGGCGCGCAACGACGCCAGCAGGACCGCGCTGTTCCTGGCCGCCGTCAGCGGCAGCCCCGCCACCCTGGACCTGCTCATCCGGGCGGGAGCAGACGTGGGCTGCTGCCTGCCTGCCTGCCTGCCTGGGCAACTGGCTGGCTACGAGCTGCTTTCCTGCGGGCTGGCTGGCTTCGCCTGAGGGCCACCTCTCTGTGCCTGGCGGCACTGCTGCCGCCGCAACTTGGCAGAGCGATGCAGGCGCGCCCAACCCCGCCTGCATTTTTCCCCCCGCAAACCCCTGCTTGCTGCAGGCGAACGCTGTGGAGGATGCGCGGCTGTGCTCGCCGCTGGTCGCCGCCGTCACGCGGGCGGCGGCGCTGGGCGCGGCATGCCACGCCCGCGCCCCAGCCTTCCTGCGCTGCGTGGAGCTGCTGGTGGCGGCGGGCGCCGACGTGCGCCTGGCGGCCAAGGACGGCAGCACCGCGCTGCATGCCGCCGCCCAGGGCGGCTCGCTGGCCTGCTGCGACCTGCTGCTGGATGCCGGGGCCGCCCTCGATGCGCCAGACGCGGCCGGGCGCACGCCGCTGGCCGCGGCGGCCGCCGGCCGGGCGCCGCACCCCCGCTGCGTGCTGCACCTGCTGGGCAGGGGCGCCGCCGTGGCGTCTGCGGAGCTGGTGAGCTGCCTTCCGCTGGGCAGGCTGCTGCTGCGTGTGGCTGGCTTGCCCGAATGCAGCCGGCGCCTTGCAACTTGCTCTTCCGTCCAGCATGGGCACGCCACGCAGAGCGCTCAGTTCAGCTCTGCCCGGTGTGCCTGCCACGCCACGCACACACTCTCTCCGTGCACCCCTGCAGGCCTCCCAGGTTCTGGGCACGCTGCTGCTGGCCGGCAGCGCGGGTGGCGACGGCGACAGTACCGTGGTATCCGTCTGGCAGCTGCTGCCCCTGCTGGATGCGCGCCAGCTCAGCGCCCTCAGCGCCTGCCCCGCCTTTTTCGACCTGCCGCACAGCGAGGCCCCGCACCAGGCCCTGGGCCTGCCCGCAGTGGATGCGATGCTAGAGGTGACGCGTCTAAAAAGGCTGCCAGCTGGGGTCCGGCTGCTGCGACCGTGCTGTGCCCGCCCGCCTCCTGCCCACCCTGGCCCGCTGGGCTGCTGCCAGCAGCACGGGCTGGCCCTCCTTTCCACCAGCGCCTGACGGGTGACCGCCTGGTCCTGCCCTCGTGTGCAGGTGGCGGTGCAGGGTTGCTCCAACCTGCTGTACAATGCCAGTACCGCCGAGGCAGCCAGCCAGGGCCGCCGGCCCGCGTACCTGTTCGAGCTGCTGCGCCGGGCGGCTGCCAGCGGCGCCGCAGACGAGGAGGGGAGCGCGGATGGCGGAGGCGCCGGCATGGGTGGAGGCGGCGGCGCACAAGAAGGCTTGAGGGGCCTGGTGGCGGGCAGCCCGCATGTGGCGAAGCTGCTGCTGATGTGGACCTCGGCCCAGGCACGCCCGCCTCTGTTGTGCACAGCTGGCTGAAGTGTCTATGCTGCCTGAACAGAAAGGAGCATGCCCTGCATGAGCGTGCGCTGGGCAGCCTGGGTCCCACCCCAATGCCAGGCAGCCTTTTGAGTTGCTGCATGTGCGCATGGCTGACACCAGCTGTCGGTCCCGCGCCGTCTTGTACCGCATGTACCGCAGATGCTGCTGCAGTACGCGGCCTGCATCGCGCGCTGCCACGGCGTGCCGCCCCGCGACCGCCAGCACCTGGCCTGCCGCGTGGGCCACCTCTTCTCCTCCTACCACGCCCTGGCCTGTCCGCAGGCGTGGAGCACCCGCGCACCCCGCTGGCGGCGTCTTGCGAGGCGGCGGCGCCAGCTCAGCGGCCGCCGCCGCCAGCCGACCCGCTGTCGCTGGAGGAGGAGCCGGCCATTGCGGCCGCCCTGCGGCCCTTTGGCGGCACCATAGACGAGCTCATTGGCTGCATAGACGAACAGGGGCAGCTGCCCTCCTGGCACTTTGTGCTCGAGTACCGGGAGGTGAGGAGAGGGAGGCGGGGGAGGCCAGCGGGCACAGCGCGCCGCTGCCTGCAGCTACTTGGCTGCAGATGAGCCCCCACCCCCAGGCATCCTTGGAGCCAGGCTCCACTGCCGCCCTGCTGCCGCTCTAAGCTGCTCAGCGCCGCCGCCTGCATGCCTGTGTCTTCCCAGGCGACCGGCCTGGCCTGCAAGCAGCTGCTGGTGCAGAGTGTGGCGGGCGCGTGGCCGCCCCGCCGCGAGGGCATGTTGGCTCTGGCCACCGGCCGATCTGGCGTGCTGCAGCGCGTGTGCAGCGCTGTGGAGGAGGCGCCGGCAGCGCAGGGCGGGCGCGGCTTTGGCGCCGTGCTCTGGCACGGCATACGGGTGGCATTTGACGAGGTCCGTGGGGCGGGGTGGGTGGGTGGGTGACTCAGCATCCCCTCCTGCTGCCATCCCACCGCCGTTTGCCGCACTGTGGTGCCCTTGCACGGCTTGCCGGCAGCCCGGGAGAGCCAATTCTGCTCCCAAACCCGGCCGCGCCGCACTCTTCTGCTGCGCAGGAGGACGGCACGGGCGACGGCGTGCGGCGGGAGTGGTTCCGCCTGCTGGCAGCAGAGCTGGCAGACCCGCACACCGGCCTCTTTGAGTCGCACGACGGCGGCGCAACCTTCAGCCCCGCGCCGCACGCCAGCGTGCAGTGCGAAGACGACGGCAGCGGCGGCCGCGGCGGTGGTGATGGGGGGCGCAGCGGCGGCAGCCACCTGCGCAAGTTTGAGCTCGTGGGCTGCATGCTGGGGCTCGCCATCCTGCAGGCAGGGCTCGCCGGCGGCTGCGCTGCCGCCTGCTGGCCAGCCGGTGCCTAGCCTCCCCTGAAGTGCTTGTGCTTTGGCCAACGGAAGGAGGACTGAAGGGCTATCTGCCCAGGGCTGTCTGCCCTGCCGCGCGCTCTGTGCAGGGCTGCACCCTGCCCGGCTTCAACCTCAGCGCCGCCACCTGGCGCCTGGCGCTGGGGCAGCAGCCGCAGCCGCAGGCGGACTTGCAGGCTGCCGACCCGCTGCTGCACCGCAACCTGGAGCTGCTGCGTGGCATGGGGCCGGCGGTGGCCGACCTGGGCCTGCACTTTGAGACGCATGACGCGCTGGGCAGGGCGGTGAGTGCCAGCTGGCGCCAGGCTGGAGCTAGCTTGGCACGCCCTGGACGTCTGTCACTTTTGCAGCTGCTTCCCCTCCAACCTGTCGCTGGTGCCTCCGATGCGAGACAACCATACAACCATGCATCGTGCACCCGTTTGCCCTGGCTTGCCCCTGGCCTGCTGCCCACAGGTGGAGCTGTGCCCCGGCGGCTCCACCCAGCTGGTGACAGCGGGCAACCTGGAGCAGTACATTTCTGCCGTGGCGCAGTACAAGCAGGTGGACAGCATGGCGGCCGAGGCGCGGGCGCTCGGGGCCGGCCTGCTCGGCGTGCTGACTGCCGCAGTGGCAGAGGGGCTGCCGCGGTGGCTGATCCATGCCGAGCTCAATGCCATGGTGGCAGGCCTCACTGAGGTTGACGTGGCAGCCTGGCAGGAGCACACGCGCTACGAGCACTGCACAGCGCGCACGCCGCAGCTGGGCTGGCTGTGGGCCGCGGTGGCGGGCTGGGGCGCCGAGCGCCGCCGCCAGCTGCTGGCGTTTGTGACCAGCAGCAGCGCGCTGCCGGCGGGCGGCTTTGCCGCGCTGCGAGGCTTCAACGGCGCCCTGCACCCCTTCACAGGTGCCGCCCGCTGCTGCACATGGGCAGCCGCACTGCCTGCTGCTGCGCCCACCTGTCGTCCCCCGCAGCGCTGCACGTGTGTGTGTAGCCAGGTGCCTGCCCCGCTCCACCTTCACCCTCCCTGCTAACGTTCCTGCCGGGTGCACCTGCCCATACCTGCAGTCTCGCTGGTGGCGGTGGAAGGTGACGAGCGCCTGCCCCGAGCCTCCACCTGCTTCAACACGCTCTTCCTGCCCGCGTACAGCAGCCCGGCGGTGCTGGAGGCGCGCCTGGTGCAAGCCATAGGCGGCCAGCAGGCCTTTGACGAGGGTGGGCGGGCTGGGGCCGGGGCTGTGACACCTCTGCTATCATCGGCCCGGCCTGCTGCTGACGCGACGTACACCGATGCTGCATGCGTGCAGGTGTGATCCGGCGGTGACTGCTGTATGTGCACCAAGAGCAGTCGAGGCAAAGCATCGCGGCAACGTGTTGTGAAGAGCATTCTTTTTGGAGATCTGCTGTCACTCCTGTTTATCCGCCTGTCCTCGGCACCCTTCCCTCTTAGCGAGAGTATGTTGTCTGCATGAGATTGCAGTTGTTGCATTATTGTTGCATTATTGTTGTATGCCTCTTGCCAGCCTTTGTTGCTCCTCTGTGCTTGCCATGTAAACCTGCCATCATGAAACACTGGCTGCCACCCAGAAAGGTGGTTGCTGTTTCACAGACAATTGAACATCCAGTGTGGGGCAGTGCACAACGCTCAGCTGCAGCTGCCCTACTGCTCATTTTTGTCGCTGCCCTCCTGCTGCTCCTCCTTAGCCAACAAAGCCTCTTCTTTGCTCCCCCCAGCTACCCGCTTCTCTGCTCCTTCCTTCTTCTGCTTCTTCTTTGGCTGCTGCTGCTCCTCCTCCTCCAACTGCTGCCGCTGCTCCCCCTCCTGCTGCTCCTCCTGCTGTTCCCCCTCTGGCTCCTCCTCCTCCTCTGCCCGCTGCTGGCCCTGCTGCTGCTTGGTGCCAGCATCGCCCCCTTTTGCCGCATGCTTGTCATCCCATGCCTGGGCCGCGTCCCGTCCCGCATCCCTGCCCACCATCCAGCAGTTGTCGTCGCCTCGCTGGTAGCATTGCTCCTCTGCCTCCTGCCCCGCCTTGGACGCGTGCCGGCCCTTCCGCTCGGCAGCGGCACGCGCCGCGGTGGCAGCAACTGGATCCTTGCTGCCACGGTACAGCTCGACGTATCTGTCCAGTACTGATTGCCAGTACTGCCAGTACCCTTCCTCCGAAAGGTGCGCGGCCGCAAAGGCCTGCGCGTTTGCGGCCAGGCGCTGCGCCACGGCTTGGTTGGCTGGCTGGCGCAGCGTGCGCACCAGGTCCAGCACATCCGTCTCGCTGTCCCGCCAAAATTCCAGGTAGTGAACGCACGGCTTCACGGCACGGTAGTACCTGCAGCATGGGCGGGACAAGAGAATCAAGAACCAATCAGGGCCCGCACATTGCAGAGGAGTGGGGGCACCAGCCGCAGATGGCACAGTTGACCGCCAGCCAGCCTGCCAGCAGCAGGCAGCACGTGGCATAGCCGCCAGCCCGCCGCACGTATCCATGCGGCGGCACGCAGCGCTCGGCGCGAGCGTGGCGGGCTGGCTGGCGCCGGCAGGCGCGCGCGGCTGCCTCACCACTGCTGGTAGGGCGAGGCCTGCTTCAGCACCAGGCTGTTGATGGACAGCAGCGTGGCAAAGCGGCTGGAGGCGGTGATGCCGTCCAGGTTGATAAGGTACCTGCATGGGTGGAGGGAAGGGATGGTATGGTGTGGGTAGGCAGGAGTCTTTCAGGGGAGGCAGGAAGGCCGGGCGCGCCGGGCAACGAGCCAGTCCCCTGCTGCAGCTGGGGCAGAGCCAGGCAGGCGCCACGACCGAGCCTGCCGGCACCTGCGCTGCCCTCTAGCCGGCTGCGCCTCCCTCCTCGGGGCGAGAGCTGCCAGCGGAGCAGCGAGCCGGCAGCGCTGGCACACGCGCACACTCCCACTCTCACACCAACTCTCACTCTCACACTACCCTCACTCTCACACACACTCTCACTTGTACCAGGCGTGCTCGTAGTGGGTGGCGGGCGGGCCGTACACGCCCTGGGCCCTGTGATGGTCTGAGTTGATGGTGGCGTTCAGCAGGTCCGGGTGGCGCAGCGTGAGGAGCGGGAGGTGCTCCCGCGAGCAGTTGCCGCCCTCCACAAAGCGCGTGCCGTTGAGCGGGTGCACATTGCACCAGGGCGTGCCCCTGCGCCGCGTCAGTGGCCGGCAAGTATGGTGAGGGCAGCCAGCAGCACGCCGCCAGGCAGGCTGGCTGGCGGGCAGGCAGCAGAGGCGGGCTGCGTGGGTCACCACACCACACACACACACACACACACACACACACCAACCACACCCTGGCTACACACCGGCTCACCTGAAGAACGCCAGGTCTGCCTTCTCGTCCCAGGGCACCGAGTGGGGCTCGTAGGGGGCCCTGTTGTTCAGGTGGAAGTTGGGAACCATCACATCGTCGTCGTTCTGGTGCCTGATGACGCTCAGCAGCGGCGCGGAGCACACGCTGTGCCCGCTCTGCGCGTGGGCAGCCGCATGCGTGGTAGGTGGCGGGTGTTGGTGGTGACGGCGGCGCGGATGGCAGGGGGTGCCCTGACGAGACCCGAAGCCCGCCCCGGCGGTGGGCCAGGCGTGGTTCCGCACAGCAGCCTGGTAATCGCACACACACGCACACACACACACACATGCAATGCAGGCCGAGCCGTCCACCGCCAATAAACGCCGCCGCCGCCACCACCACCGCCACCACCACCTCCTCACACCACCACCACCACCGCCGACACACACCGCCACCACCACCACCACCCACCCACCTGCACGTCTTTGCTGCAGGCGGAGTAGTCATACACATTCCAGAGCATGACCAGCCCCTCCGGCAGGCGCAGCTTGCCCGCCGCCATGCGCGCGTTAAAGACCGTAAGGGCCGGCTTCAGCCACTCGTTGCAGTACCAGGTGCAGCGCAGGCCGTACCGGCGCGGCAGCACCAGCGTGTTGTTGCGGACCTGCGGGGGGGAGGTTGGAGGGCAGGGGCGTGGAGGGTGTGCGGTGTGATAAGGGGGGCGTGGGATGCAGGTCAGGGTGCGCAGGCCGCGGCGGAGGCGGGGCAGGCCACAGGCAGGCCAGGGGGGCAGCGGGCGCAGGGGCGACAGGGAGAGTGTAGCCGCAGCGTGGTGAGAGGTGATGGGCTCTGGCTGGTGATCGCCCGAGTGCCCGCCCGTACACTGCTGACTACACTGCTGGCGCGAGGGCATGCCACGGCAGGGCGCGCACAGGCAGCGCGCACAGGCAATAGCAGCAGCAGCCGCCGCAGCAGCAGCCGCAACGGCGGCAGCGGCGGCTCCAGCCGCAAGTGCTGCGCCTACCTCCACCCACACTTGGGTGTCGTGCGTGCCGTCTATCCTCAGCGCCGCGGCTGTGTCCAGCAAATCTTCCAAGGTGAACCCCGTGTCGTCCCAGCGGGCAAACGACTCCCTCACGCCCTCTGCCATGCGCCGGCTGCTGTCCGCCAGCGCATCTGCCACACGCGGGATGGCCCCGGGGCCCCCACACAGCGCCTCTGCTCCTGCCTGCTGCCCGCCGCCGCCGCGGCCGCTGCGGGCTGCTGGGCCCGCCGCCGCGGCCGCCGCCGGGGCTGGGGCTGGGGCTGCCGCCGCCTGCAGGGCATCCTGCCCCGCTTCCTGGCCGGGTGCAGCTGCCGGGCACTTGGGCGGCGGCGGGCACTCAAGCTCCTCGCAGGGCGGGCACTGCTCTGCTGCCGCTGCTGCTGCCGCTGCCTCCACGTCTGCTTGGGGTATGCACTCTTTCGGCTCGACCGAGGTGGTCTCGGCGCAAGGAGGGCACATCTGCACAGGGCAGGCCCCGCCGCGCTGCAGTGCCGCCGCCGGCTGCCAGCCGCCGCTGTCGCGAGCGACCAGGACCAGCCCGCCCACCACCAGCAGCACCAGCGCCGCTGCCGCGGCACCCGGAAGGTGGCGCCGCGCGGAAGGGGGGTGCTGCGAGGCGACCAGCGGCCGCTTTTCAGCCGGGTTCATCGACACGGTGTTGCTACTCGGGGGCCCTAACCACCGCCGCTAGGGCGCTAGTCCATCTGTCTGACCAGCAGCGACAATCAAGCAATAGCGACCACATGTATTGCTTCTGCCGCCCTGGATGCACACCCCGCCGCGGCCGCAGCGCCCACAGCGCCGCCGCCTCCATTTCAGCATTTTCCAATGTGGATCATTTGTTGACTAACTTTGCCGATGTTATTTGCGTTTACCAAAGCTGGACAGATCCAAGACAAATTGGTGGCTGAGCAGGAGAGACGGGCGGGTGGGCGGGCAGCAGGTGAACCCGCCCATGCCGCTTGCCAGATCTAGAGAGAGAGGGGGCAGTAACTACTACACATAGCATGCGTGCCAGGAAGAGAGTGCAAGGAGCATCTGACAGGGACGGAACTGAGTGTGTGCAGCAGGGGCCGGCAGCTGGGTTGGCCATCTCTTTCAGATCAAGAGCAAGCCAGAGAGAGGGGCGCGGGGGAGCAACTCGCTGGCAAAACCGCAACTATGTTGTGCCTCAAAATTGAATTGACAAACAATTGCCAATGTCACATGGGTGAATTAGTAGGATGCAGGCCGCCCGCCAGCAGTCGGATGTGTTTGCTTGGCGATGCCGTGGCAGCCGTTATCGGCGCGGCTCACACCGCAGGCTGGCTGGCAGCCGCCCTGTGGCTGGGCAGGCCAGCGGCGACACGTGGGGTGGACGGGCCGTCGGCACCGGTGATGGCCTGCACCCAGACACCAGGCGTATATGCAGATCAGTTGGCAGCTCTACTGTCTGCCACCTGGCATCCTGGTGGAATGGAAAGCAGAGGCCGCCCACCTGTGGAGTGAGCTCCTTGGAGGTGCTGGGCTGAGGGCTGGGGGTCATGCCCACCGCGGGGTCGTGCGGGGTCTCCCTCACGGTGTCCTGCAGGGAAGCCAGAAGGGCACGGCAGGGTGGTAAGCGAGGGTGCATAGCAGCCCGGGGCTCTGGGCTCATGCAGCCCGGCTGCAGGCTGCGCCCATCCCTGGCAGAAACAGCCTGGTGGCCTGGCAGCCCCCCACTGCAGCGGCAGTACAGCAGCAGTACCAACCCAGTCGCTGCGGAAGAAGAGGTGAAAGGGAACCGCAAACAGGGCGCCGGTGAAGGGGCCCACGCTGCATGCAGGCATGGCAGCACGCACGGCAGCGGGAGGTTGGCGCGGGCGAGCAGCGCAAGCACCCGCGCACGGCATGCCGCCATCGAGAAAAGCATGCCCCAAGCGTGCTGATGGCAGGTACGATTGGCGTTGCATGGGCAGCCCACATGAAGATCCAGAAGGATCCCGGCCAGGTGCCGCTGACGATGGCAGGACCCAGGGAGCGGGCAGGGTTGATGGAGCAGCCTGCACGGCGAGGGAGGGTCGTCGCGGGAGGGCAGTGGCGCCTGCCGCCAGCGGGCACCATGGGGAGCAAGGCATCTCACCACTGACAGCACAGCACAGCATGGCACGGCGGCAAGCCAGCCATCAATCACCGTCGATTGGGAGCATGACAGCGTGGGCGCAGAACACGGCAAAGCCTGCGGGCAGGCGGCAGGCAGGCCGCAGGGAGGCTGCATCAGCCGGCGGGCGCGCATGCAGGCCCTGTCCCAGGCGCACAGGAAGCCAATGACTGTTTCACAGAAGGCAGAGGCTCATGGAAGGAAGGAAGCAAGCAAGGAAGTCTCCCTGAGGGAGACGAGAGCAAGGCTCACCGATGGCCAGCGGCGCCTGCGCCCTGGCAGTGCTCTTGCGGTTGGCCGCTGTCTCCAGGACTACGCTGACCAGCACAAACGTCATCACCTGGAGGAAGCAAGCAAGAAGTCGTGCATTCCTTCAATGCCTTGTGGATCACCTGGATCACCTTGGAATAGCAGCGGGCGCCAAGCTTGCTGCGCGCCACATCAATGGCGGCGAGCAGGCACCCCACCAATCCCTCACCCCCCCAGCGCAGCGCAGCGCCCTCACCGCCTCGCCGACAAAGGCGTTGCCCGTGCTGACGCCGCGGGCGATGGCGTTGCTGCCGAGCGTGCTGGCGGCGGCGTGCGGCACGGTGGCATAGAGGAAGGAGCTGCCCAGGATGGCGCCCACCAGCTGCGCCAGCATGTTGGCGGCCGCCTGCAGCGGGCCCAGCGTGCCGCTCAGCGCCAGGCCCAGCGACACAGCGGGGTTCATCTGGCCGCCGCTGAGGTGGGAGGTGGCGTAGGCCAGCACTGCACGTGTGTGGGGCAGGGGCACTGTGACAGGGTGTGGCAGGTACCTCCCTCCGACGCAGGGCAAGAGGAAAGCAGCGCTGGCCTTCTGTGTGCTGCCTGGGCAGCAGGGAAGAGCGGCAGTGATCCCTCCACTCCCGCCCACCCAGGCTGGGCAGTGGATGCAGCGGTCACCTGTGATGGCAAAGCCAAACGCGAGGGCGGTGGTCGTGCCCCAGCTGCAGAGGGCAGGCAGCAGCGTGGACTGGTTTGGCACGGCGGCAGCGGCAGGCTGGCGACAGTCGCACGTCGCCGCGAGCGCGCCCGCTCCAGAAAGGCGATGCAGCACCCCACCCCGCGCCACGCCCAAGGCCCGAGCTAGCAGCCAGCGCACCCATGCAGGCACCCCACCCCACCCCGCCGCCTGCCACCAGCACCTGGCATTGACTGTGATGTTATCCAGCAGCGTCTCCACGCCCTGCTGCACGCCGCCGCCCTGGAGTGTGTCGGAGCGGGTGGCATTGGCCAGTGTGTAGCCCCTGGCGCAGCAGGGAGCAGGAAAGGAGCAGGGGGTGAGCTGGGGTGTAGCCCCTGGTGCAGCAGGGAGCAGGAAAGGAGCAGGGGAGGGGCGGGGGTGTGATCACACTCAAAATGAGGTGTGAGGGTAACAGGCAGGGGCATATTCAAATGAGACGCGCGCGCTGCGGGCGGCGGGCAGCCGGCCCCGTCAGGCGTGCACTGCCGGAGGGTCCGCACTCTTCGGGAGTTTGCAGGGCGGAGAAGTTCGTGGCAGCGCCGGTGCCGATATACCTGCAGCCATCAGCCCAGGATGCCTGCGGCTGTCTTTTGACTGATGAACCGTGATTTGTCGCAAGGGGAAGCAAGGCGGCCGGCGCAACGGCGACGCAGGACCGCCCCTTGGACGGCGGCGGCGACGGCCTCATCCACCACACAACCTTGCAGGGCGCGCCTTGGACGCCTGCCCCTGCGGTCAGGCAAGCCCACTGGCCCCTCACAGGGAGACGCTGGGCCCCTTGGGCGATGGTTACTCACACAAACAAGCAAGTGGCCACACACTCTGCCACAACGGCCTTGACTGACAGCCGCATGGCTCTCAGGCAGGTGAGACAGCCACGGGAAGGGTGGTTTTAGAGTCCTGGCTGGAGGTGCTGCAGTGCATTTTAATGCCGTCGCCACCTGGCGTCGCCCCCGCAAGAAAGGGCGGCCCCGGTTTAGGGTTGTGCACGGCCCCCTCCTCTTGTCGACAGCGGACGTCCTGCCCCCCTGCCTCCCGCCACACCTTACAGGCGACAGTGCTCATGTTTCAAGTTCATCAGATGCTGCTGGTGGGGAGAGGCCTTCCAAAATGGTGGTGTGGGGTGGCGCGCGCAGTACCAAGTGCGGCAGCAGAGGAGGAGAGGAAAGACGAATAACCGCAGGGCACTACGATAGAGGAGAGAGAGAGCAGGATCGCCGCATCGGGTAGGAGTGAGTCACCGTTACCCTGCCGCCGCTGCCTGGCACGGCGCTGCCGTGCCGGCTTCACTGTGGATTGGTTCGATTCAGCTTTGGTTGGTTTGCGGGTGGGCTCACTGGCCGGAGATGTAGCCCCAGATGCCCGACCCTTTCTTCTCTTGGGAGGTCATCCTGTAACAGCAGCAGTGGGGAGGGAGGAAAGCCGGCAGCCGGGGTCACAAGCCTCCATCACGGTCCACCTGTCGCCCCTGGCAGCTGGCCCCTCCATAGGTGTGCCCGGCCGCGCCGCGGCTCCCTGTACCGCCTTATATACCGCCTGTAACTCACCTGTACTTCTGCAGCTCCCGCTCCAGCTCCTCCATGCGCCCCAGCTGCTGCCGTGCCTCCGCAAGCTCCACCTCCAGCCGCATGCTCTTGCCCTGCTCAGCCTCCAACGCCGCACGCACCTCCTCCAGGCTCTGCACCAACGGGGGCAGCATAAGGAGGTGGCGTGCATGTGTGTGCATGTGTGGTTGTGAGTGGTGTGCCTTGCGGTGCGGTGTGGTGTGATGATGGTCAGCAGATGGAATGGATTGGGCGGGCCGGGCAGGAGCAGCAGGGTGTGCCGCCGCCGGGGCCTGCGGCAGCACAGCACGCGCGCTCCCCGGCACGCACGCACACGCACCCTGTCTGCGTCGGCGGCCGTGGCCTGCGCTGACTCCAGCTGGCGCCGCATGATTGCCATCTCATGGGATACCGCCTCCTTGGCGGCCGCCGCCTCCCTGCGCGCCGCCTCCACCTCCGCCCACGCACGTTCCTGCTCCGCGGCGCCGCTGGCTGCAGCCGCCGCGGCCGCTGCAGCGGCCGCTGCCGCGGGCTGCGCCGCGGCCTTGGGCGGCGCCGCGGCGGCGGGCTGCTGGGGCGCGGGCGGCGCCGCGGCGGGCGCGCCTCCAGTGAGGTAGCCCTCCGGGCGGTACACGTGTACCGCATTATGGTACCGCCCGTTGTACCCGCCGAACGAGATCATGCAGCCCGCCATGGGCACCGGCAGCAGGCTCAGGCCCTCGCTGGCGATGGCCGACTCCACGGGCGTGTTGCCCACCAGCGTCCACTGCGGCACAGGCGGGTGGGAGGGGCAGGAGGCGGGGCTGGTCTGCACGCGAACAGGCAGGAACTCCCGGGCAGGCGGGCATGCAGGCGGGCATGCAGGCGGGCAGGCAAGCAGCCAAGGAAGCCGCCAAGGGAGCGGCCACGGCTCTGCCCAGCTGCCAGCAGCACCACGCCGCCAGCACACATGGAGGCGGCTGCAGCAGCCGTCGCCGGCCCTGCCTGCCACCCACCACCTCCCCACCCACCACACTACCACCCACACGCACCTGCACAGGCCCTGTGGCCAGGGGCGACAGGTCGAGAGCGTACATGTCTGCGCATCCCGAGGTGTTGTTGCCGCCGCCCACCAGGAACCACACGTCTCCCAGGATGGCGCCCGCATGGCCTGCGGGGCAGGAGGAGCGTGCGCGGAGGAGGGGGCAGGGTGGGGCAGCACGGCAGGGGTGTGAGTGCGGGGCAGGCTCGCGCGGTGGGAGTGTCTGCCGGTGATGGGGCTGGGGTGGGCACCAAGACATCCAACACAGGTCCAACACCGGCGCCAAGCTTCTCTACCACTATACGGTACCAGAGGGTATCGCAGGCCGCGGTACTGCAGGCCGCAGTGTGCCAGCCGAGCCAGCGGCAGGCAGGCAGGCGGCAGGCGGCAGGAGGCTGCGCTGTGCCGCCGCTGCGCACCTGCGCGGGGTGGCGGCACTGGCCCCTCGGCCTCGGGCACCCCCCACTCCAAGGTTTCCAGGTCGAGGCAGTGCAGCTCGTTGTTGCAGTGGGCCACGCTGCCGCCGCCAAACACCAGCATGTAGCGGCCGCGGTACAGGGCGGCAGCGTGGGCGGAGCGGGGGCCCGGGGGCGTGCCTGGCGCGCGGGGGGAGAGGGAGGGAGGGAGGGGCGGAGCGGGGCCAGCTCAAACGGGTGGGGCGGGATCCGCAGCAGGCGCGGGGTATGTGCGACCGCAGAGGGTCATTAGGCCGCGCCGCGCCTCGAAGGCAAGCAAGGACTCCAGCCCTGATAGGCTTACAGCCCCACGCCACAGCGACCCACGCACACACACCACCAACTACACACACTCTCTCAACCACACACACACGCACTCGCACACCACCACCCATCCACACACCACACCCCCACCCACCCGTGGTCTCCGGCACGCTCCACTGCCAGGTGGCCAGATCCAGGCACAGCAGATCTCCCAGCGGCCTCCTCATCACATCCTCCCCGCCAAATATGTACAGCTTGCTGCCCACCAGCACGCCCTGGGGCAGGCAGGGCAGCAGGGAGGGCCGGGGTGGGGCGGCGCCGGGAGGCGCACGGCGGGCGGGCGGGCAGGGAGGGAGCAGGAGCAGGGGCGGAGCGACACGGCATGCCGGCCGCTGCGGAAGGAGAAGCAGCGCAGCCAGAAGCCGGCAGCAGCGCGGGCAGGGAGGGCGGAGGCGGGCGCAGCAGCACAGACAGCTAAAGCCGCACAGTCAGCAGCAGCACAGTCAGCAGCAGCCGCTGCCGCCGCTGCTGCTGCCTGCTGCTGCTGCTGCTGCCGCCGCGGCTGCTGCCTGCTGCTGCCTGCGCCGGCGCAGGGCAGCGCAGGCGGGAGGGGCGGCGTCTCACCGAGTGGCCACCGCGCGGCCTGGGCAGCTCCTCCTCCTCGTCTGCCGCGGTGCACTGGATGGCGCTCCAGGTGCCGGCCTGGGTGTCTAGCAGCCTCACCGGCATCTCGGGGCTCGCCTCCTTGGCCTGCTGGGCAGCACGGGAGGGAGGCGCAGGGCGGGGGGCAACGGCAGCGGCGCGGCGGGTGGGACCGAGGAGGGCTGGAGCGCGCACGCCAGTTTTCATTTTCATTTTGTTGATGTTGCATTCTTTTAAAGCAACGCCGCGCGGCTGACCCCCCATCCCCGCGCCGCGTGCCCACATCGCTGAATCCGGGGCCCCCGCGGCAGGCAGCCCAGGTGGCGGCGGCACGCTCCCGAGGCAGCGGCAGGCACCCCTGCGGGCAGCAGCCGGCCGCCCCCTGCGGCGCCTCACCTTCATGTGTCCCCCCACAATCACCACGTTGCCCTGCCAGGCCACCGCCACGTGGCCCGCGATGGCCGGCAGCGCCGCGGGCTGCGGCGGCGCGCCCTCAGCGGCGCCGGAGGCGGCCCCCGCCTTGCTGCCGGGCCAGGCATACGACTTCCAGGTCAGGTTTTCCAGGTTAAGGGCCCAGGTGTCGTTCAGGTATCTCCCGCCTGTGGCAGAGGAGCATCAGGGCATCAGGGCATCAGCACCGGCAGCGGAAGGGCTGGAGGGCGGCACGGAGGCGGCAGCGGAAGCTGCACGGCTGGGAGGGGCGTTCGGACGCGGGCGGCAGCCACGCGGGGCGGAGGCGGAGGCAGTGGCGCCAATGTCGCTGGATGGAAGAAAGCACCGAAGGCAGGCGCACCGTAGTTGCCGCCCACGATGAACAGCTCGCTGCCGATGAGGGCGGTGGCGTGCTCGTACCGCGGCGGCGGCCGCCTGTCGCTGATGTACGGCGACACCCAGCTGCCCTCCACCACCACCTCGGTCACCGACCGGCTCTTGGGCGCGGGGCGGCCGCCGCCGGCGGCCGCCGGCGCGGGCGGCGCCGCGGGCGGCGCCTCGCCCGCCGCCGCCGCCGGCGCGCCCTCTGCGGTGCCGTTGGCGGTGGGGGCGCCCACGCCGGATGCCTGGTGCTGGGCCCACCAGTCCGGCACCTCCTCCTCTAGTGTGCGCACATAGAGGCGCATAGCCTCAACTGCAGGCAGGCAGGCAGGCACAGGCAGGCACAGGCAGGCAGGCACAGGCGAGGCACGTGGTGAGGGGAGGGAGGCCCCGGCCGACCCACTGCTGCGCATGAGCGCCAGACGCGCTGCTGCGTGCTGCGAGCCGTGCGCTGCAGGCGGCGCGCACCTGCGGGCATGTCCCCTAGCTGCTTCCACGACTGCCACTTGGCATTGTTCACAACGGACCAACCCCAGGGCTTGGGCTCGTTGCACGGCCCCTGCACCCACGTGCGCCGGGCACGGCACGGGGCGGAAGCGGCGCTCAGGCGCGGCGTTTCGGCCGCGCTCGCCGCGGCCAGCAGCGTCCGTGCGCGGCTCGCTGCAGGTGGGGCTGCGGCGTGGCTGCCAGCATGCGAAGGGAATCACAGCGGCGCCTGTGCACAGCTGGCGGGCGGCGGCGGCTCACCACCGTTGCTTGCTGGTGGAGCGAGTACAGCAGCAGCTTGCTCTCCTCCGTCAGATTGTCCCCATCTGCACAAGCTGAGCAGCAGGCGCCGCCATATCAGTACAGCGCAGCAACATTGCCCGCTTGCCGCGTTGGCGGCGGGTGGTAGGCGGCGGCAGCGGCGGCAGCGCCAGCCGGGGGAACTGGCCCCATGGCTGCCTCTCGCCCGCCCTGGTCGCAAACCCCAGCTTTAAAAACAGCTGCTGGGCGCTGCGGCGGGGCGTAGAGAACGCGATCGCGCTGCAGAACAGGTGCAAAGGGCAGCTGGCCGGTGGGCTGCTCACGGGCGGCGACGAAGGCAGAGGCTTCCGAGAACCTCTCAGGGTATGGCAGCTGGCAGATAGAGGCGGACATGGTCGCTGCGTTCTCGCCAGGACGGATCCGGTCGCGCCGCGACTCCACTGCCGCCCGGCTGTATTGCAGCAGAGAGCAGACAAGCGATGATCGGCGGTCAGGGGGCAGGGGGAACCTGCCCAAGGGACACGCCAGCAGGAGGTTTATGGGCAGCACACAGCACACATCAGTTGCTGGCAGCCTAGGCCGGCCTAGGCTAGCCTGCGTGCTCAAATGCACGAAGAGCGCATTGAGCACTTTGTGGCCGCCCTTCGGCACAAGGGGACACCCCAGCCCTTGCAGCACCCGCCTCCCGCCTCTGCGCCGTCGCGGCAAGTTGTACACTCTCCCCGCTGACCAGGAAGGACCACGCTCGGCCAAGGTCGCACAAGCTCATGTAGGTAGCAGTCCTGCAGCAGGACGCCTGCCGTGCTGCACGGTCGTCGCTGGCCCCAGCCCGTTGGCCCTCTTTTGCCTGCCAGCGTGTCCTGCCTCTCTCGCAAGCACGGTGGCCATTCACAGGGGATAAGTGCCGACTAGAGGCGGCCACGGCTGTGCAAAGCAGATAGGGAGGGTGCCTGCGAATGTGTCCGCTGACACCAAGTCAGAAAGCGTGCGGGCGCCGCCAGGGCACATGCGATGGCAGCGGGCGGCGGCGAGGGGAGTAGCCAAAGGAATTTTTGTTGTGGGGTTTCTAGCCAGCACAGAAGAAATTTTGGAAGCTGCGCTCAGCGGGGGCAAGGCAAACGGACACGGCAGACGTGGGTGCGCTGGGCCGCCGGCGGGCAAGCCCTTGGGTGGCACGGACAAGCTACAGACAGGGTGTTTGGATGTGAGGGGGTGATGCAGAGTTGTACCAAAGGAGGGCGGCGGTACGGTGTGGGTGAGGCGGGAGCGCAGGGATAGAAGAACCGGAGAGGGGAGGTTCGGGAGAAACAAACGGGCGGGAAGAAACAAATTGCGTGCTTGACAGCAGAGGGACGCAGAGCTGAGCGCGAGAGCAAGACGAACAAAGCAGAGTGACAGAATGGGGGAAGGGGGGAGAGGGTACATGCCGCCGACTGCGGACCGGGCGGCTGGAACAAAGCGTGGAGACAAGTGCCTGGCGGCAAGTGTGAGGAAAGCGAGCTGCTGCTTGCTGCAAGGCGTGCCGCGCTCGGCGGCGCGAGCCATCAGGCCGCCCCGAGGCGGCCGCAATGCGAGCCTTGGGTCGGGCCGCCGGAGCCGCCTCAGTCCTGCATCGATCCCGACGCGTAGTCGCCGCGTGTGAGCGACAGCTCTGCAGCAGGGGGCGGCAGCGGGGGAGGGTGGGTGGGGGGGGCAACACGGGCAGGCACACCGCGCAGGGGAGCAGTCCCCAGGATCCGAGCCGGCCCTGGCACGTGCTGCACATGCCCCAGGCCAGCACGCCCGGCAAGGCCCACCCTCCAGCCAACCACCCGCCTCCCCCTCCGCATCCCTCCCACTCCCGCCCACACACAGAGAGCGCCCCCAGCAGCGCCCCTCCCCCACCGTCACGCACACACGCACATACGCGCGCGCGCCACGCACGAGGCTCGCCCCCCGGCAGCGCCGCCTCCTCCTCCGCCTCCCCCACTGCCCCCACACACGCAACACACACACACACACACAGAGGAGGCTCACCCTCCAGCAGGTCATCAGCCTCCTCCTCCGCCAGAATGTCGTCAGCCATCTCGTCAATGTTGTCGGCGTCGATGACCCGCGTGCTGAGCTGCGCCTCGCGCACAATGCCCACCACCTCCTCCTCGCTCTGCGGCAACGCACGGGGCAGCACGGCGCGCGCGGCGTGAGCGGCCGCGGGCGTGGCGCGCCGGCCAAAGACAGCCCCCGCCCGCCTGCCCGCCTGCTGCGCACCCGCCGCCGGCACCTCCCGCCCCGCCCCGAGCATGGAGCCCGCCACAGTCCTCCTGGCTCCCATCCAAGCCCTCCCACCCTTCCCCGCATGCCCAAGCCGCACGCCGGGCAGCAGGCGGCGCGCCCAGCCGGGCAGCCGGGGCCTATCACAGCGGGGCGGCTGTGACTTCTGGTAACAGCTGGTACCGCTCGGGGGCCCACCTGCCGCGCCTTCTCCGGGTTCACCCTGCTGTTCAGCTCCAGCAAGCCCTCGGGCATGTTGCGGCGGAACCAGGGGTGCGACATGATCCCCGGCATGCTGATGCGCTGCCCCGGGTCCTTCACAAGCATGCGACTGCAGGGAGGCGGCGGCGGCGGGGGAGGGAGGGAGGGTTCAGAGGGAGGGCCAGGAGGGGAGGGCCAGGAGGGAGCGGCTGGCAAAGCCAAGCAGCAGGGCCAAGCACAGCAGGGAGCAGCCAGGGGGGCAGAGCGCGCGGCCCGGCACAGCGGCGCGCTGCGTGCGGTGCACGCAGGCGGTACACGCAGGCGGTACGCACCCCAGCAGGTCCCGCAGGTCTGGCGACATGTCCTCCGGGATGCGGTACTCCACGCGAGCGATGCGGCCCAGCACATTCTGCAATGAAGCACCGCAGCACACAGCGGCGGCGGCACGTGAAGCGGGATTGGCCCATGCCCGGCAGCCAGCCCGCATGCCCTCACGATGCATGCCAGGGGCGGCCCAGGCCTGCCGCGCGGCGCCCCGCACCCCGCGCCCCGAACGCCGCAACACCCGCCCAGCTGCGCGGCGGCTTCCGCGGCGGCTTCCGCGGCGGCCCTCGCCACGCGGGCAGCCCCCGCGTCCCCACGGGCCGGCCTCTCCTCGCCAGGTAACACAACCAAATGCCTGCAGCACACCTGCACCGCCGTGCGCGCGTCTGACGCATCCTCCAGCCGCTCAAACGGGTACAGCCCCACACACATCTTGTAGAGTGCCACCCCCAGGCTCCACACGTCGGCCTGGTGGCCGTGCCGCATCGTGTTGCTGAGCACCTCCGGCGCGGTGTAGGGCAGGCTGCCCAGCGCGCTGTTCGGGTCGCTATTGATCTGCTCGCTCTTGCTGCAGGGCAGGCAGGGCCGGGGGGGTGCAGGCGGACGGGGCGGGCGAGGCAGGGGTCAGGCACGGGAGGCAGGGCGAGCAGAGGGGTGTGCGGGCAGCGTGGGAGGGAGGGTGGAGTGTGGGGTATGGGCACGAGGGCAGCCGAGGCGGCCCCGCCGGCGCAGCAAACCCTTTGCCAGCACGCTGCACGCCAGCTGTTACGACCCCCCTCCTGGGTCGTACATCTCTAAAGCCGCCACCTGCCAGCACCTCAGCACTGCCTCAGCAGCCGTCTCGGCTGCTCCGATCCACCGCACCACACACACAGCACACACACACCAGCCCAGCGCAGCGCTCATGCACGCAGCGCCACATGCGCGCAGCGCGCCCGCCACCTCAGCGCCCGTCCACCTCAGCGCCCCTCCCACCTGTACGTGAAGTCGTTGATCTTCAGCAGCGGCCGCGTGGCGTCCCCCGTCAGCAGCTTGTTGTTGAGGTTGAGCTCACGGTTGTCTTGGCCAATGGAGTGGAAGTAGGCCAGCCCCACCGCCAGCTGCTGGAAGAACCAGCGCGACTCGTCCTCTGCTCCAGCGGGGAGGGGAGGGCGTGCGGGTGAGGGAGGGGCGCGACGCGAGGGAGGGGAGCAGGGGAAGCAGCCAGGGGAGCGGGCACGGCTGAGAGCGGCTGACCGGCCTGCAGCGAGCCGCTCCTGCATCGCTCAGCCCTGCTCCGGCCGGCTGCTGCCCTGCTGGCGCCCCGGTAGCTGCTGAGTGATCACCCGCCTGCTGCCTGCTGCCGCCGGCCTGCTGCGCCGTACTCCCCTCCCCTCCCCTCCCTCGCCTGCCAACCACACCGCCTGCTGCCTGCCGCCTGCCCCCGCCACCCGCGCTGCCCTGCTGCGCGGCACACACCTGACAGGTGGTCTTTGCTGGTCACATAGTCAAGCAGGTCCCCTCCCGGCGCATACTCCAGCACTATCGCCAGGAAGCGCTGCGTGAGGAAGACCTCTATCAACTGCACGATGTGGGTGTGCCCCGTGCACTTCCTGCAGGCAGCACGCGCCCGCCAGGCACGCGGCACACGGCGCTGAGACGGGCAGGCAAGGCCGGGCTGCCGGGCAGCTGCCCAGGCAGCTGCGGGCGCCGGGCCGGGCGAGCACAGCAGCCGCCGACATAACGCGCTGCCGCTTCAACCGAGGAGAGCAGCGGGGCTGGACCGCCTGCGTCCCTGCCGCCGGCTGGCTGCTGCACAACGCCCACCCGCAAGCATGATGGTTTACACCTTGGTGGAGCCAGGTGAGGCTGCGGCCCCGCTGCGCCGAGCCGCGGCTGCCCTCCCTGCCAGCTGGCGAGCGCACCCCCGGCCTGGCGCTCCTCCTGCGCACCTGCCTGCCCACACCAGCCACCCTGTGCCCGCACGTCCCGCACCCCTCCCAGGCTGCTGCTTGCCTGTGGATCAGCAGCTCGTTTTCCACGTGCTTGGACACAGCCGGCCCTCGTTCTATCATCTTTATCACCACCTGCTGCCCATTCTCCTTGTTGCGCGCCAGGTACACCTGGCCTAGCGTGGTGCGGAACAGCTCGCGCACAGGCTCGTAATACCTGCACGGTCGCGTGGCAGCGAGCAGTGCGGTGACCCGGCGGCAGCGGGACTATGCTCGCCGCCCTCGCCCTCCGACCGCCCTCAGCTGCTGCGGCCCTGTCCGCGGCCGGCTGGCGCTGCTGGGCGGCGTTCTGGTGGGGGCAGCAGCGGCTGAGGCGTGCCTGTGTCCTAGGAAGGGGCAGTCGACGAAGTCCACAGAGGAGGTGGCCTCGCCCCCCGTGTCGTCGGTGGTGGCGGTGTTCCTGCAGCGAATTGGCGGTGTGCTTGAGGCCAAGCGGGGGGCGCTGGGCGGGACGATGACCCAGCAAATGGGCTGCAGCCAGACTCACATGCTGCCGTCTAGCGAGTTGCCTCTCGAGCCGCTTGCTGCCCCCTCCCGATGCTTCCTGCTGCTGAAAACGCTGCGCAGCTTGTCCATTGCTGGAGCCCCGGCGCGGAGGATGCCCCCGCGGGGCTGTCACAGGCGCCGGCGGCTCCCAGGTGCTTGATTGGTGCTGTCGAATGCCGTGTGCGGGCCCTGCGACAGGCCTCCAGTCCCCAGTGGGCGGCACCGAGTGAGACAGACCAGCTGAGGCACGGTGCAGCCCGGCCGCCCCGTTCGAGACGTGCAACGGAACGTAGGGGTGCCAGAGCGCGCCTGGTCGCTGGCTAGGGCGCCCAGCCTCGCCTGGAAAGGACGTCTCCAGAGGGACCCCATGGATCTCCCTGCGCCCTTGAATGCCATTGCAACATGTCCGGCAGCCTCCGGCAATCATGTCTGCAACAGAAAAGCCACTGGGCCCGCACTGCTTCACCTTTGGAGATGGCCTCGACCTGCAAGTGCACTGTCGGCGCCTGCCCGCCGAAGTCGCCCGCGTGACGCAGACCCTGCAACTGGATGTCGAGGAGCTGTTCGCCAACCTGCTGGATTGGGACAGCGGGCCGCTGGCGGCGGAAGCGGCGGCAGGCGGTGCTGGCGAGCAGCAGCAGTCGCCGGCGCAGCAGCAGCAGCAGCAGCAGCAGCAGCAGCAGCAGCAGCCCGACTCCAAGAAGCTGTGCGGCAACGTGGCCGCCAACCAGCCCGACCTGATTGGGCTGGATGTGTGGCCAGCGGCGATAGCGCTCTGCGAGTACCTGGCACGACGGCCGCAGCTGGTGGCGGGCGCCTATGTGTGCGAGCTGGGCGCAGGTGGGGCTGGGCTGCAGCAGGTCTGGCTGCTGCACCAAGCGTGCCTTTCATCGGCTAGCGTGGCACCTGCCTGCCACCAGCGCACGCATGCACGGCACGCCCACGGGCGGCGGCAGCGGCCCACAGTCAACGCCGCCGCTTGTGCCCCGCTCCTGCCGCAGGAATGGGCCTGCCGGGCCTGCTGTGCGCCAAGCTGGGTGCCTCCCAGGTGCTGCTCACCGATTACGAGCCCGTTGTGGTTGACCACCTGCGGCGCAACGCAGAGCAGAACGGGGTGGCGCCGCGGTGCAGCTTCCTGGCGCTCGACTGGTTCGACCGCGCCCCGCTGGCGCCAGCTCAGCGCCACGCGTACCACCTCCTCCTCCTGGCAGACGTCATCTACGCCGCGGCAGTGGTGCAGCCGCTGGTGGCCACGCTGCGGGCGCTGCTCACGCCCGACAGCGGTGGGTGGGTTGCTCGGTGGAGGGAGCGGCGGGCGGGCGGGCGGGAGTGTCTGGCGGGAACCGTCCAGTGGAGCTTGCAGGCAGCGGTTGCCCTGGGGTTGTGCCTCTATCTCTTGCTGCACCCATGCTGTGCTTTCCTTGGCTTGCTGGTCCGCTGACAATGCCCAGTGGCATGCCGGGAGGCTGGCCAGCCGGCCCACGCGCCGTGCTGACGGCGGCGTGCGTCGCGCTGCCTCCCTGCCGGTGGCTGTGCAGGAGTGGCGCTGGTGGCGCACCGCATCCGCCGGCCCCTCATCTTTGATAGAGTGGACAAGATCGCCAGGCTGCAGGTGCACAACGCCCGCCTGCCTGCCCCTTTGTGGCTGGAGAGCGGTGGCCGGCGTGGCGCTGGCAGCCGGCGCCAGCTGCCGGCGTCTGCCTCTTGGGCGCCTGCGGCAGGCCCGGCAGCTGCCTGTAGAAGCTGCATGCTGCAGAGCAGAGGCTAAGGCCGCCTTGGCGCCACCTGCCCCTGCCTGTGCCTGTACAGGAGCAAGACGAGATCTTTGAGGAGTTCAAGGGGGCCTGCCAGGCAGCCGGCCTACACCTGCGCTTCCTCAGCGACGGCCCTGCAGCGCTGGCGGGCGAGGAGCCGCTGCTGCTGGCCATAGGGCCCAGCCCGCACCACCTGCAGCGCTTCCCTGCGCTGGCGCAGCAGGCTGCAGGCGCGGGAGGGGCGGGGGAGGGGAGCGGCGGCGTGCAGGGCGGCAGCACAGCAGCAGCAGCAGCAGCAGCAGCAGCACTAGCGACAGGTGCTGTGGAGGATTCATAGTGAATGCTGTGTACTGTTGGCCGGTGATCCTCTGGGAGCTGCCAGCAAGGCATGTAAGCTCCACCTGGCAGCGGTAGCTGTATGGAAGCTTTGCCAGGAGGCCCTGTTGCGTTTATAACACCCCGTCACTGCGGATGGACATGCCAGTCGAGCGGTTTGGAGCAAGCCCCTGCAGCGGTGAGCGCCCTCGTGGCCCCGCCTTTCCTGCCGCCGCGGCTTGGTTACCGGTGGCCGCGCGGCATGGTGCTTACATTGCATGCTTGGGCAGGGCTCTTCATCATCAGATCAAGGACAGAGCATGCAGGGCCTACACCAAACTGTGGTAGTGACAAAGATGGCGCCAATATGCAAAGCAGAATGCCAGCTGTGTGATCATCCCAGCCTTGCACGCTTGGCGGGCCTCGCCTTGCTGCCGCCGGTGCTTGCTGCCGCCGCCGCTTCTAGCCCTGCTGCCGCTCCTGCCGCTGCATCTGCTGCTGCTCCTGCTGCTGCACCACCGCCGCCGCCGCCGCCACTGCCGCCCTCCTCCTCCCAGCCCTCCTCCTCCCAGCCCTCCTCCTCCTCCTCCTCTGCATCTAGCGCCGCCGCCGCCGCCGCCGCGTCTTCTATGCGCCACAGCTGGCGGTTGGCGCCTGAGCGGTAGTCGGCTATGGCCTGGTTGGAAAGCGCGTCGGCGGCCTGGTTGAGCTCCCGCCGCACCTGCCGCGCCTGGAAGGAGGCGAAGCGGTGCATGAGGGCGGTGGCGGCGGCGTGGTAGGGGCGCAGGCCTTCATTCTTCACCTGCCAGTCCCCCAGCACCTGCAGCCGGGGCGCCGGGCGCGGCCGTCGGCAGGCAGGCAGGCAGGCAGGTGTGCAGGAGGCAGGCAGGCCAGACCCTGCCGTCAACAAAGCTTGTTATTGTCAGTGGACCATCGTCCAACCCACCCACTCAGCCCCGCCCTCGGAGCAACCCCCGCCCTTGCCGGCCAGCCAGGCAGCCAGCAGGCCAAGCGGGCAACAACCTGTGGCCTGCCCAACTGCCGGGATAATAAGGGTGCGGTCCCCTTGCCCCGGGATGCGGCGGCAGCCCAGCTCCAGGGCCGCCTGCAGCCCCGCAATCAGCCCGGCGTACTCGGCCTGGTTGTTGGTGTGCTGATCGCCCATGTACTGGCACATGCGCGACACCTGCACGAAGGCAGGCGGCGGCGGGGGGGGGCGGTCGGCGGCGAGGGGAGTCGGGGATCGCGGCGTGGCGGTGGCCGCTGCTGCAGGTGATGGCTGGAGGCGAGGGTCCCAGCCGCGGCAGGACATGCCCGGATCCACGGCTGGTCTGACGGGCCACCCCTCCCGCTTGCACGCACCCTCGACCCCCCCCAGGCAGCCCCACAGCGCACACCTCCACGCCTGTCGCCTCATCATACAGCACAGCGCCCCAGCCAGCTGGCCCCGGATTGCGCTTGGAGGCTCCATCAAACTCCTGCGGAGCAGGGTGGGTGCCAAAGCCAAAAGGGAATGGCAGTCTGCACAGGGAGAGCTGCAGATGGCCCCAGGCAGGAGCGGCCTGGCAGGGCAGAAGATGGGGAGGCGCGGCTGGGATCGGCAGCAGCCGCTGGCAGGCGTGCCAGAAGCCTCACCAGGCGCAGGCAGCGATCGGTTGGCGGAGTCGTAGCCGCGTGCCGCGCTGCAACTGCAGCCGCGGACGCTTGCTGCGCCCCCGCTGCCCGCGGCGCTCGGCGCTTGCGCGGCGGCGGCTCCGCGCCCGCCGCTGCCGCAGCTCCGTCTGCGTCTGCCGCCGCCGCTGCCGCTGCCGGTGGCGCCGGAGGCTCTACTGCTGCCAGGTTCAGGCCCACACCATGGCTTTGCAGGTAGCTGAGGGCCTCATGCTCCGAGGTGAAGCCAGCATACATGTTGCCCTTCCAGCCCTGCACCTGCTGCCGGCACTCCTCCCAGCTGCGGTAGAGCCCAGGCCGCCGCCCCACCGCCACCGCATACACGCTCTTCTTCACCATCGTCGTCTTGGTGCTCCTGGCCAAGGCCGGCGCGCTGGTGCTCAGGCAGCGCAGAGAGAGCGAGCGGAACAGGAGCATCACTGCAAGTTACAGCGGCATATCGACACAGCCGCAATCGGGAAGGGATGCTGGTCAACAATGTGCAGAAAGAAGGGCGAGCAGGGCCCCCGATGTTTGTGCTGCGAGTGCTGCGCCCAGGAGAACTGCAGCAGGCAGCCGCCTTCATGAGACGTTGAGCGGGGCACGGCGAACATTGCTAGAACCTTTGACATGGCAGTGCCGGTCATCTGCAGACCGCCGCCCTGCAGCGGTCTGCGCAGGCCCAGGAGAACCCCGTGGCGCCTGCAGGCGGCCTCCAGCTCCATCCAGGATGTCCAATTGGACGGGTATACGCTCACAGTGCACCAAGGACGCCTCCCCGAGCCCATCGCGGTGCGGCGCTTCTTGCGGGCCCGCCAACTTTTGTTGAACACTATGCTTACTGCAGAGCTCATGGCACTGGCAACATCCCCAACACCGATACCGCAGCTCCCTTGTTCACGCCTGCTTCGCAACTCCTCACAAGCTGCAGGTCAGCAAGCTGCTGGCGCGGGCGTTTGCCGCCAGCGCGGGCGAGGACGGCGACGAGGGCGGTGCGTCCCCGCTGGCGGGCGCCGCGCTGGTACCTTTCCAGCTCAAGCTGCTGGCCGCGCTGCAGTGGCGGGGATCCACGCTGGGCAGGAGCTTCATCGCCGTAGCCGCCACCGAGGCGGGCAGCCAGGAGCTTGCGGGCGTGGCAAACGTGTCAGCGGGCATGGCGCTGGCGGATGCCGACACACACCAGCTGGAGCTGGGGCCGGGCCAGGCGGCCGCCACCATCAGCAACATGGCCGTGGCGGAGCGGCACCGGCGGCGGGGGCTGGGGCGGCGCCTGCTGGCGGCATGCGAGCACGCCGCGCAGCACCTGCTGGCGCCGCCCGCCACCCTCTGTGCGCTGACCGTGTACAGCAGCAACGAGGCGGCCATAGCGCTGTACGAGAGCAGCGGCTACCAGATAGAAAGCAGCTGGGTGGACCCGCGGTGGGCGGAGAGCGCGGAGCGCGGCAGGGTGGCCTTCGGGCGGCGGCAGCTCATGGTGAAGAGGACGCTAGGGGTGGAAGAAGCAGCGGCAGCGGCGGAGGAGGCAGCAGGCGCGGCGAGGTTGCTGTAGCGGCTTCAACTGATTACCAGTCTGTTTTTCCAGGAATACTGCTATTCGTTTATAGATCATGTTTCAGTTGACCATTGTTTCCCACGGTTTGCAAGGCCATCGTTTTTTTAGGGCAATGCAAGGTTGGCAGCGGCGGCAGCGCCCTGCCGCCGCCACATGGCGCTGTGATGGACCACAGCACACCAGTCCTGTCGCAGACCAGCTCACAGCCTATCGCACGACATGCAGCAGCTAAGTTTCGAGTTCCCGTGCCCTGGCGGGCACGCAGTCGCCATCGAGCTGCTCTGCCGCGAGCCTCCCGAAGCGCAGGCCGGGAAAACGCTCACCTGGCAGGTTGCAGAGGATAGGGAGCATGCTCAGGATAGACGTCAGGCCGTCGGCAGCTCGGAGGCGATGGCGGAAGGCGGCCCGCCAGCTCCCGCTCTTGGTGCCTCCGCCGCCCCTGCACCAGACCTGATTGGTCTGGATATCTGGCCCGCCTCTATAGCCCTTTGTCGCTACGTGGCAGCCCACCCGCAGCTGGTAGCCAGCCCTGGGCAGCACGTGCTGGAGCTGGGGGCAGGTCGGTGCCTGCCGAGCGGCATGGCCTGGTTGCGAGCCAGCTGCTGCCCCTGCCCTGCTCCTTGACCTGCTGATCCCCCTCCCTGAGCATTGCTGTCTGAGCCTACCTCCTGCCGTGTACACTTCACCTGCGTTCAGGCATGGGCCTGGTGGGCCTGCTGTGCACCAAGCTGGGTGCCGCCTCGGTGCTGCTCTCAGACTATGAGCCAGCCGTGCTGGCCCACTTAGGCAGCAACGTAGCCCTGAACAGCCTGCAGCCGCGCTGCCGCACCCAGCAGCTCGACTTCCGCCACCCGGGGGCGGGCCTGCGGCCAGACCAGCAGCGCACCTGGCGGCTGGCGGTGGCGGCGGATGTGTTGTACTGCGAGGCCATCGTGCCTCACTTCATCGCCACGCTCAAGCTGGCGCTGCATGCGCAAGGTGGGGCTTGCTGCGAGGAGCTTGGGGAGGTGCTCCTCTTGTTATGAGGGATAGCTGGCATTGCTGCCTGATCTGAAGATAGGTACAGGACCCTCATGCGCCCAGGTGCATTGCTGTGAGCCAAACCCGACGTATGCTTTGCCAGGTCTTTCTCACGGCCCTCCTCAGGCAGACTCCCTCATTGCCTCTCCCTCCTGCAGGCGTGGCGCTGGTGGGGCATCAGGTGCGGCGGGCGGTGGTGCTGGACCCAGCCACCCGCCTGCCGCGGCTCGAAGAATCGGATGGGCCGCTGGACGCCTTCATGCGGGATGTGGCAGGCGAGGGCCTGCAGCTGCGGGTGCTGAGCAGGAGGGCCACATGCAGCAACGTGGATAGCGATCCCATGGTGCTGCTGGCGGTGGGCGGCCAGGCGGCAGTGCTGGCAGGCCTGCCAGGCGCCTGAGGCACGGCAGCCCTCCCGCGGTCGGGGCCTGGAGTGCAAGGTGGGGCAGGGGTTGTATTCCCCACTGCTGGTCCCACATCGACTCGGCAGCAGTCAAGTGTTACAACCCAGTCACGACAGATGGGGGGACAGATCAGAGAGAGAGGTGGGGAAGAGAATGCGGAGGCGTCAGCGCTAAGGGGATTCGGCGGGCGCTAAGGGGAGGGGGAGGGGCTCAGCTGTGCATGGGTTCAAGAGGGGACCAGTGTGTCAAGGGGAGTCGACAGAAAAGGGGAGAGAGATAGCAGGGTGCATCACGCTGCCGCCAGGCGCGGGGCGGGCGGGGTTCTACATGCCGCCCCACAGCTTGAGCAGGCTGCCAAACATGCCGCTGGCCTCCTGCCCCTCCACCTCCACCTCCGCCTCCTCCTCAGCCAGGTCTGGCAGCAGCACGTTGTCGATCACGTGCACCACAGCGGGGCAGCCGGCGTTGATGTCGGGCACCACCACCTCGGCGCTGGACAGGGAGCCCACCACGTTGATGCGGCGGCTGGCAGACTTGGGGTGCAGGCCGTACACCTACGCGAGGCAGGGGGAGGAGAGGAGGGGTGAAGGGGGTGAGAGGGTGAGGGGCAGCGGCAGGTAGCGCGGGCACAGCAGGCCGTGGCAGTTGCTGCCGGGACCCCCTGCTCCCTGCCCACCTGCTGGATGGCGATGCTCAGCACGCCGTCCTCGGGCTCCTCCTCAGCCTCTTTGCCCTTGTGCATCCAGGAGGCGGTGGGCTCCGCCTCGGCGGCGGCCTCCAGGTCAGCGGCCAGCAGGGTGGGCAGCTCCTGGGCGGTCTTGAGCTGGGAGGAGGTGAGGGCCTGGCCGGGCACAACGTGGTACTTGAGGATCTGCGGGGCAGGCGGGCGGGGTGGGGCAGGCGGTGGAGGGAGGGAGGGAGGGAGGAGGCGCAGCGTGGGGAGAGCAGGAGGAGGCACGGCCGCTCCCACCATGCGCCACCCACTCACCGCCTGCAGCAGCTCGGGCTGTGCCAGCAGCTGGGCGGGGGTGACGTCCAGTGCCTCCAGGGCGGTGGCAAAGGCCTCGTCAGTGGGGGCAAACACGGTGGCCTGCAGGCTGCGGTCGGACAGGGCGGGGGCCAGGCCGGCGGCCTGCAGGCGCAGGCGGCGGCGGCAGGGGAGGCAGGCAGCGGCGGCGGTGAGCAAGGGAGCAGAGCAGGGGAGTGGTGCAGGGGAGCAGAGCCAGCCAGATTAGCAAACGGGGGAAATCAAGCCGGGCAACCGCTGCTCCCACCGGGCTCACCTGGGGCGGCGGCGAGCAGGTGGAGGAAGTTGCCTGCGGCCTTGGCCCCCTCGGCCACGCTCAGGCACTCAGCGGGGGTGACGGTGGGGGTGAGGGTGGTGCCGGGCGCGCCGGACCCCGCGGGCGCCTCGGGCACCAGCCAGGCGTGCTTGGAGAAGAACTTGGTGCGCAGGCCGGAGATCTTGGCCTCGTGGTGCTCGCGGATGCCGGAGATGGCTGCCTGCTTGGCCTCGCGGATGCCCGAGATGAGTGGCCCCTTGGTGGCGGCCGCCCCGCCCACCAGCGCGCAGAGCAGCAGGGCGAGCGTGGCGCGCTGCTGCATGGTGGAGAGTGGTGGAGGGGCTTGGAGCAAGCAGGGGAGGCGCGCGCAGGGGCCTGGAGCAGCGAAAAGGAGAGGGAGAATAGCGGGCAGAGCGCCAGGCGCGGGGTTTTGAGCGGCCCCAGGGCCCTGCCCCTCGGGGCGAGGCTAGGATGGGTGGAGCGACGCACGGCCTCTTGGACGGAGCCAGGGCGCTGCCCAGGAAATGTACCGCCGGCCCGTCCCGCCGGAGACCACTGGGCACCGTCTCTTTCTGTGTGGTGTGTTCTGATTGCCGGGCCAGCCAAGTTCGAGGAACAAACCAAGTTGGAGAGTCCAGTCAGGCAAAACAAGATCACCTGTCCAGCCGGCAGCAGATGAATTGCGTGATTAGTGCATTGCGTTAATCGAGCGAAAAAAATGAGACATGAGTACAGGTGGTCAAAACTGTTTCATACCAATCTGGCTGCCTCAGGGAGGCGCCACCGAGGCCTCAGGACGCCACTGGGATGCACTTCCTGCCTGCGCTGTCCTCGTCATCAAACTCAAACCCCTCCAGGCACCAGTCGCACTCCTCCTCCCCCTCCATGTTGGTTGAGCAGCGCGCGCAGCTGCCCTTGCACACCGTGCACAGCCCGGCGGCCTGGTCGTTCCAGTAGCCGTCGTTGCACCACCGGCAGACGCTGGCATCGTCCTGGCAGTTGGCGCAGTGCTCCAACCGGCACTCCACACACTTTCCGGTGACCAGGTCCACCCCATACTTGGAGTCTGGGTCGTCGCACACGGTGCAGGCATCCACCCCCGCCTCACACATCTGCATCCGCGGCAGGCAAGCGGCAGGCAAGCTGGAGCAGGCATGGCAATGGCTGCCGGCTGGCGAGCAAGGTGAAGCGGGCGCTGGGCCAGGGCCAGCCAGTCCTGCTGCCACGCGCCAACAGCCCTAGCGGCAGAGCGAGCGCGTGGATGATGTGCGGCGGCAGGCTCACCGAGCAGTGTGGGTCGGAGCAGCGCGCGCAGCCGCCGTCGCTGGTGTTGGTGTAACCGCTGTCGCAGGTCTGGCACAGGTCTGGCGAGGTGGGGCAGTTGGTGCAGCCCTCCGTGCACTGCATGGCACATGGAGCATGCATACAGCTGATAGGAACAGCAGGTGCATGGAGGCAGCGCAGCTCGCACTGCTGTCACAAGCGGGCGGCTGCCACCAGCCCCGCCGAAATGCCCAGCCCGTTCAACGGCTGTTCGCGCAGCGGCCCCTCGCGCTCGCTATGCCAGTACCAGCGCTGCAAGCTGAGCTTCACCTTGACGCACTGCCCCGTCTTTGTGTCGAGCGTGTGGCCCCACCCCGAGCACACTTCGCACGTGTCTGCCGATGAACAGCGCTCGCAGTCTTGGGGGCACTGCAGCGGGAGGGCGCCAGGTGGGCAGGGAGGCAGCGGGGCAGCAGGAGCAGCAGCAGGCTGGACCCACTGGCGGCGGCGCGACTGTGGACCCAGAATGCGGAAGCAGCGCGGGCAAGAAGATGCGCAGGCACCAGCCGGCTACACCGACGCCTCCCTGCAGCAGCCACCCAATCACTGTGCCCATCCCCATCCCAGCACCAACACCCATGCCCCACACACACCTTTTTGCACTTGCCCGTCTTGGGTTCTGGAAAGTATCCGCTGTAGCACTCTGTGCAGGTGTCCACATCGCCGTCACAGAAGATGCAGTCGCTGCCGTCGCTGCACGCCCGGCAGCTGCCGTCTGGCATGAGGCCCATGCCCTGCTTGCACTGCGTGCAGGTGCCGTTGAGGTTTTGGCAGGCCTGCGGGGGCGGGGAGGAGGCAGGGAGTGGTGGATGCGAGAGGTATATGTCCTTCTGTGTGTCTGTGTTGGGGGTGTCAGGGGAGCCAGGCAACCAAAGGCACGGAGGGGGCAGCTGGTGCGTGTGCCCCCTGGTGGATCGCTGCGTGGCATGCTGCGCGGCTTGCGGCTCTCTGCCTCTCCCTCTCAAGCAGCCCCTCCCCCTCCCCCTCCCAACAGGGGCCCCACCTCCACCTCCCCCTCCCCCTCCCAACAGGGGCTCCACCTCCTCCTCCACCCACCATGCAGTCCTCTGCGGGGCACACGGTGCAGCGCCCGTCCTCGCTGGCAAAGTATCCATACGCATTGTCGCCCTCGATGTTGCCCGAGCAGTCGGTGCAAAAGTTGGGGTCATCGCCGGTGCAGTTGGCGCACACAAAGTCGTCAGTGTAGCGGTCGGGGTCGCACTGCGGCGGGGATGGTAGAGAGGGGCAGCAGGGCAGGGCGAGGAGAGCTGGAGTGTGGCAGGCTGCACGGGTGGAGGCAGAGCACAGCAGTGGCAGGCGCACAGGCAGGCTGCGGATCCAGAGGTGGTGGACGGGCGGCAGATGTGTGCAGGACTGAGCCATCGGCGCCAGCAGCGGCAGCGGCGGCGGCGGCAGTCATGCCCCCCGCAGCGCCCGCCCACCATGACGCATGTGCCGTCTGAGGTCAGCCCGAAGAAGTCCCAACACTCGAGGCACGTTTCGTTGTCTGCGGCGCAGGTCTTGCAGCCCCCCAGGGTGGTCACGTCGCCCTCGATGCCGTCAGGCGCCTCCACACACTTGTTGAGCTTGCAGTCGCCGCTGGAGGTGAGGGTGAAGAACTCTGCGCACTCTAGGCAGGTGGAGTTGGTGGCGTCGCAGGCTGAGCAGCCTCCCAGGCCCGCCACGTCGCCGTACACGCCCTCCGGGTTGAGCACGCAGGCAGCGGCGGCGGCGTGGGCTGCGAGGGAAGGGGCGGGGGCAAGGGGACGGCAGGTGGGCGGCGGCGGCGGCCAGCGAGCGGCGGCAGCGACCGGGGCTCAATGAGGCGAGCGATCGCCACCGTCCCAGATCGCATTGGAGGCTCGGAAGGTGGGGGAGGAGGCATGAAGCTACAGAAGGGTGCAGCGTCGAGTGCCGCATGCCGGCCAATGGCTGGAAGCGGAGTGCCTGGCGTTCTGCCACCTGAAGGGTGGCTTTCCGGGTGCTCACAACAAACTTGGCAAGTCCCACTCACCGTCCAGTAGCAGGAGCAGCGCCGAGACAAGACAGGCCCGCAGCATTGTCGGCTCTGCTGCACTTGACCACGATGGAATTGAGTCCGGTGGTCTATACGTGCCGGGTTCATGTGCTAGAAGCGCGTTTTGCTAACATGCAATGTTTTGGAGCCATCGCTGACGGGGCGGCCCGGACGGAGGCGGCGGCCACAGCTGGCGGCATGGGGTGAAGGGTGTGCAACCTGCATACCATCAGCTTTACTTTCGTAGTCCGCAACGTGACCAGCCACGGCTTAAGTTGTGAGGTATGCAAATTGGTGATGGTTTTCCGAAAGCGCCGTACCAGTTGACCCCGCTGCCGCCACTGAGGAGCCAGTCAAGGCCCTTGAGGGCTTCCAAGGGTCCTGGCTTATGCAGCGGGCGCATTTCAAGTACACATGTGGTCTAGAGCATCATCCCCAGCCCCCTCCGGAATTTCTTGTCTTCCCCATTTCCAACCACAATCCCCAACGGGCGCCCTGAGTCCCCACATTTAATTTGCAGTGGAGCTTGCTGTCCTCGCTGCATGTTGCTTTGCCATCTACATCGCGTCTCATCTGCACCCTGCCAGTTTGCTCTGCCCAGTCACTCTCTGCCGCATTCCTTGCACTCGCGTCATCTCGCTGACCTGGGCCCTCCTCACTCTCATCATGGATGCCAGAGATTGCGCATGCTGCACAGGTGCGCGGCTGCCCTGCGACGCAGCGACTCTACTACCCCCGGATTGCCGGCACCGACACAGGCGCCGCTGCCACGCTTCACCCCCAATTCTGCTTGCTGCTGCTTTGCAGTGCGTGCTGCATCACCAACCATGCCAGACACGGAACAGAAGCAGCAGGGCTGCGATGATTTGGACGCAGGCAGCAAGATGCACCAGGTATGGGCCACCCAGCAGCGCTAGTGCGGGAGCAGCGGCAGGGTGCCCGACCTGCCACACCCCTGTTGGCCTGTTGCCAGAAATGCTCGCTGGCGCCTCCTGCCCGCAGGCCGGCGCAGCCGATGACAGCAGCGGCTCCACCACCGATCTGCATGCAGCGGCCAGCCAGGGCGACCAGGCACGGCTGGCAGCCCTGCTGGCGGCTGGCGCCTTCCTGGAGGCTGCTGACGAAGAGGGCAAGGCACCCCTTGCCGCTGCCGCTGCCAACGGCCAAGAGGCGTGCCTGCGGCAGCTGCTGGCAGCTGGCGCATCTATCGAGGGGAGCGACAGGCACGGGCACGTCGCCTTGCACTGGGCTGCCGCCTGCGGCCGGGAGGGGTGCGTGGCGGCGCTGGTGGCGGCTGGCGCCGACCTGGAGCGCAGCGACTGCAACGGCCTGACGGCCATGCAGCTGGCGGCGGGAAAGGGCCAAGTGGCGTGCATGGAGGCGCTTGCGGCGGCCGGGGCCAGCCTGGGTGCAGCCGACAGGGTTGGCAACTCGGCGCTGCACATTGCCGCGTGCAACGGCCACCTGGCGGCCATTCGCTGGCTGGTGGCTGCTGACCCCAGCCCGGCAGCGATGCTGGCGCGCCGCAACGGCAGGGGCCAGACGGCGTGGCAGGTGGCTGCAGAGTACCAGCAGCGAGCAGCAGAGCGGCTGCTGGCGGCGCTTGAACGGCGCTGCAAGGGCAGCTCAGGTGGGTGCCGTCCAGTGGACTGTGCTGGTGCAGTGCTGCTGCACACCTTGGCAGGGGCAAGGGTGCCCATCCACTGCCGTCGGGTGACTTCCCGGCTGCAGGTTGCGCAGCGTCAGCTTCTGGTCGGCGGCAGTCGAGAGCCGTAGAGCCATCCTCCCTGGAAGAGGCAAAGGCCGCCGCTGAAGCCGCTGCCGCCGAGCTGCTAGCAGAGGAGGAGCAGCAAGCGCAGCAGCAGCTGGCCAAGGCAGCAGCCAAAGCGGCCCGCCGCAAGCGTCAGAAGGAGCGCCAACAGCAACAGACAGCGCCAGGAATGGCGCCAAGTATGGCGCTGGCGGCACCGAGTCGCACAGTGATAGAGCCACCGGCAGGAACCTCGGCAGCAGAGTCAGAAGAGGTGCCGCCAGATGTGGCAGCAGCGAGCGCAGGCAGCAGCGGTGAAGCAGAGCTGGACCGCTTGATGCGCCAGCTGGGGCTTCATGTCGAGCAGCCAGCTGCAGGGGCAGGCGACTCCAGCGCCACAGCTGGACCTGGGCTGCCAGCTGCGCAGGGACCGCCGCTAGACCCAGCCCCGGGAGCAGCAGCAGCAGCAGGGAGTGGAACCAGCGACAGCGGCACCATGTCAAGCCGGGGCGTGCCTGCTGTGCACTCTGATGGATCGCTGGCCAGCGTCAGCGGCAGCAGCTGCGACGGATGCGGCACTCCCGGGGTCAAGGCAGGCGGCAGCGAGGGGGGCGCCACCGGGGCGGGCGGCTTCGATGAGGATCTGCTGGCCGAGCTGCGGTGCCCCATCACCCAGGAGCCGATGCTCGACCCGGTGGTGGCGGCAGATGGGGAGACGTACGAGCGATCTGCCATCAAAGGTAGGTGTGCCTGACGTGCGTCCACCTGCTGCATGAGGGTCTGTGTGAGTGTGTGCCCCTGTGTGACCCCACCTTGTGGTGTGCCCACTCCTGCTGTGCCCCCGCCCTGGTACCCTGCAGCTTGGATCGCGCGCCGGGTGGCGGCAGGGCACACGCCCTGCTCACCCCTCACCAACGTCCCGCTCAGGCACCTCGACCTGGAGAGCAACCTGGTGGTGCGGCGGCTCACGGCGGGGCTGGCGGCGGCGGGGGTGCAGTTCGACTGACGTACACGCACGCTTTGGAGGCTGGCGGCGGGGAACGCCAGGCGGGCGGGCGCCGCCAGCCTGGAGCGTTGTGGAGCCGCTCAATCAGCCCGGCATGCATGTTCAGGCTCATTGCGTGGATTCACCGTCCAACTGGCAGCGCCTGGCTCTCTGGCGCTCCTGCATGACGCATATCGGCCAGCCCGCACTTGCCCACTCCACTAGCGTCCCTCGTTCCTAATTGCCTGCATCGCGATCAGCAAGCGTTGGGAACATGGGGAGGAGCGAGCGCGAGGGGGAGCAGGGCGGCAGCAAGCGCAGGGACTCCGCTGGCAAAGCAAAGAAGAAGAAGGCGAAAAAGCGGCGGGCAGAGGCTCAAGATGACGGTGCACCAGCCGCGCTAAACGCAGCAGATGGCGGTGCCGCCGCCCGTCCGCTGCCGCCAGCAGCGCCACAGGAACGGCTCCTGGCGGCAGCCGGCAGCCACGACTCGGACTCCACCACCTCGCAGCAGGACGGTGCACCTGGTGCAACCGGCGGCGCCGACGAGGCAGCCCCAGCGACGGCGGCAGCGCCCGCTGGCCCAGCAGCAGAGGGCGGCGGCGCCCGGAAGCGGGCTGGCAAGGCGGCGCCCGTGCTGCCCTGGATGCGGGTCCCCATCGCCATAGAGGCCTCTGAGGGCACCTTGCTGGAGGAGGTGCAAGGGCTGGACCCGCGGCTGCGGCGGGCGCTAGAAGGTGGGCGCGTGCATGCGTGTGTGTGTGCGGCTGTGTGTGTGTGCCTATGTGTGTGTGCCTGCCGTGGTCTGAAGCAGTGTTCAAGTCGGTTTAACCGAGGGGCCGCACTTCGCGCTTTGGCTCCGGCCTCAGAGCAAGCCTGCGCTGCCCAAGCAGCCCTGCCTGCAGTCCGGCTGCTCCCCCTGCTCCCGACCCGGTCCACTCCCCTCCTGCGCGCGCCGCCTGCCTCGTCGCCTATGCCCCGCGCCGCAGGCACCGGCATCGAGGTGCTCTTCCCGGTGCAGACGGTGGCGTGGCGGGAGACGGCCGGCGGCGCCTCGCCGGCCCACGACATCTGCATCTGCGCCCCTACCGGCTCCGGCAAGACGCTGTCCTATGCGCTGCCGGTACTGCAGGCGCTGTCGGGCCGTGCCGTGCCGCGCCTGCGCGCACTGGTGGTGCTCCCCACCCGCGACCTCGCGGTGCAGGTGTTTGGCGTGCTGGCGGGGCTGTGCCCCGCGCTGGGCCTCGCCGCCTGCCTGGCGGCGGGCAAGGCCAGCCTGGCGGCCGAGGCGCAGCTGCTGGCGTCGGGCGGCGTCGGTGAGGCCCCGCTGCCACCCTGCCACCCTGCCAGCCAGGCTCCTGCTCTGTCGGCAGCGCATGCCCGACTGCTGCTGCACCTTGCCCACGCTACACTCGGCTCCCCTGGCTGCCACCTGCCCACGCCAGATGCACACAAACCACACACACACATACACACACACGCACTCCCACACACACACTCCTCTTGCAGACATCCTGGTGGCCACGCCCGGCCGCCTGATTGCGCACCTAGAGGGCACGCCAGGCTTCACCCTGCGCCACCTGCGCTTCTTGGTGGTGGACGAAACCGACCGCCTGCTGCGCCAGGCCTACCAGGGCTGGCTGCCCAAGGCCATGGCCGCGCTGAGCGGCGGCGGCGGCGACGG